AGAGCTTGTAACACTTCAAAGAGAAAGGAAAAATTTAAATCGCATCATATGACACCTTTAAAGCCTTATGCTATGGATTGTTGCTTATGTTCGAGAACGAGGATTGATTCACCTGTTTGAAGATTTTTCTGCCGAAAAATCCTTTGAGGTGCATCTTTGTTTTGGCACTAAATTGTCGGCAGCAGCTACAGGTGCCTTAAGGGGGTTGCCCATTGGACGAGAAGCGCCACGACTTTAAAATGTGAACACATAGTTTTCTATGAGTGTTGTAATCACACTGGCAGCGCCACTCAGACACTGTCCGCGGCAGCTCAGGACGCTGTTAAAAATCCTGCCGCGCCACTCACTTAGTTTGCTCTGTTTTGTTCATTCTTGAAGTGAACATTTGTCTGTTTGGTGATTAGATTAACTGCCTGTTGTCTTGAACTGAACGTGACGCATCCATTGTGCGATACCTACTGTGAGTTGTCCTAGACGCGGCGTTGCGATTCTCGTCCGGTGTGAGACCCACCTTTAGGCTGGCTCATTTTATCAGATTAGCTCACTATGAAAGCATCGTGGCTTGTTGATTGTCTTGTCAGAGCAGGCACACTATCATGCACACGTACACATATCCCAACTAACATCCGCATGCCAGATGCTATACTATCTGCAGCAACCTAAAACCTTGACCATACATGACTTTTTGAAATATTTGATGTCACTTATTTATTGCAAACCATTGCAATATGCACATTTGCGATATTTTGATAATTTCGATATATCGTGCAGCCCTAATTTGTATTGTTCTGCCCTGATCAATGGACAGTGCATCTTTTGTTCATTTCATGAAGTCTTTCAGAAAAATTGGAGTCCGGGCATCAGGTAATCTGCTTATCAGAGTAATACACTTTGCGGTGACCAACTGTGATTGCATCCAGATAATTCCCATGATGCCTTAGCAGATTTGTTCTCAATGCAGTAGGGAGGCAAGTATCCTAGTGATGACATTACTGTTGTGTAACACAGCCAAGACTTTACGTTACCTAGTAGTTTCCAGTTTGCTTAGTGCATAATAATTTCTGCACAATAATTTTACTGTATATTTACAGATCCTCAAATTATTGTTATTTAACATCAATAATTCTTTTATTGAGTGAATGTCACTTATACAGTGACTTTGCTACAATGTTGACAAAAGACAATGAACCTTTTTTTTGCAAAATGTTGCTTAAATTTAGTTAATGTGACGGCAGTATGGAATATGGACTGCTGTTATGGTGCTTTTATCATGTTTTTGTCCTTTTTGTTTAAAGGAACACTCCACTATTTTTGAAAATAGGCTCATTTTCCACCTCCCCTAGAGGTAAACAGTTGAGTTTTACCGTTTTCGAATCCATTCAGCCGATCTCCGGGTCTGGCGGTAGCACTTTTAGCTGTAGATTAGCATAGATCATTGAATCTGATTAGACCGTTAGCGTCTCGCTCAAAAATGACCAAAGAGTTTCTATATTTTTCCCTATTTAAAACTTGACTCTTATTGCGCAGCGCCTGAAAATAGTCCCCAGCTAGGTAACTTCCAATAAGCCTATTTTCAGGCGCTGCGTAATATCATTGCGCCTGCTGCACTCATGGTACGGCAGCAAAGTTCCTTGATTATTACTAGGGCTGGGCAAAAAAAAAAATAGATTTTTCGATATCGTTTTTTAAAATGTGGTCGATTCAATATCGATTCTCGAAGGCCACGAATCGATTTTTTTCAATATTTATTTCCACAAACATTGAACATAAGATTTACGTCAATCTTATTACTAGTCTAATCCACTAGACGGAGAGTCCGTCATTCATTCATTGCTTAAAAGGAGCAATTTGAAGCTCAGGGGAGCTTCAAATGTTTCTATGTGTTTTTGCAGCGTTGAGTATAAATAGCAAAAATATAGAAACTCTTTGGTCATTTTTGAGTGAGATGCTAACGGTCTAATCAGATTCAGTGATTTATGCTAAGCTACAGCTAAAAGTGCTACTGCCAGACCCGGAGATCGCAAAAATGCAGGTCCAGCCGCACTGGCATTTGATATCCAGAGGTTGTACTCTGCTAACAGCTCTCTTTTCTCATCCTGAGCAGGGAGGACCTCTGAATTATGAAGCAATGCTCCGCTGGACCCTCTCTGTCCTGCTCTAGTTACCACAACTCCTGCTGCTCTACCGCAACCGAGTGCGCTTCTGCTGCTGCTAGTGGTTTGGCTGCCTCCTAAAGGGACAAAAAGGAGAATTCGCAGTCCTCATCAGCTGTTGTCTAGTCACATATGGTGCATCATTTGCATTCCCGAGTCGACATCCCTACCGCTCAGCTTCTTGCCAGCCTGTGGCACTCATAGGGTTCATCAACACAGGATATTAATAAGCGTGTGCATTTGTTTTGCCTGGATTGCACACGCTAAAAGTCTATTTTGTTTTTAGTTTTTCCTCTCCACTGCCACACGGGTGGTGGCAGGACATCATAGGCCATGGAGCCCAATATGGAGTACTGTCTGACCCAGGTGCTACAGAAGGATGTGGCCCGCAGGTTGCAGATGGGTCCCGAGCTCATTGACTACATCACAGATACAGACAAGTGTCACGACCTGGAGAGTGACCAGACTGCACTGGATAAAATGGTGGACGGTATCGCCACCTCTTGGGTTAACTCCAGCAACTTCAAGGTGAGAGGCTTTTTATACCATTTAGATGCTTAAGCGTAATTTTCTGCAAGTTTTGATGGACATTTTGTGACAGTAAAGGGTGCAGGGTGGTGTGTCAACTGGATTGGGTATTGTGGGTTATAAAGCAAGGGCTTTTCTTTTGGAATTCTCCTTCAGGCAGTTGTATGGCATAGAATCGATCCCTTGAGCAAAACAGAGCGGGCTTTTGAGGTCACTGGAACATTTACAGCCCTTCATGTTGACATGTTTCAAGATCAAACACAATGAGAGACTTCACTTTGTGTCCACATCTTTAGATGATGATTAAATATTCATTCACCCAGAAATTAAAATTCAGTCATCATTTACTCATCATCATGTTGTTTCAAACCTGTATGACTTTTAGTGGTCGACTGATACTGTTTTTTTGACAGCCGATGCTGATATCTTGGAAAGCCGGGTGGCCGATATAAAGCCGATATAATTGTATTTATTTTCATTAATATTTAAGAAATTTGAAATCATTTGAAAATGGATTAAAAAATAATTTTGTAAAATAAACATACTTATACTTTAGATGACAAAGTATTTTCCACAAATAAATATTTTGTATAATTTTATAATTAAAAAGGAAGTAAACTGTAACCAACAGAGCACTCAGTATTCTGGGAAGTTTGTGTGCATTGGGAATCATATTTTTTCAAATAAAGCCAAGGTAACATATAACACACATCATACATACAGCACACAGTGAAAATGACATGAATATGACAGTGGACAAGTGCAGCATAATTTGAAATCACGAATTTATGTTTAAAGCATTCAATTTGCACGGACCGAAAGTCAAGCAGAGATCATGCAGGTCACATGCACACTTCACAAGATCTCACAACTGGATTCGACTAAGTTTGCAAGGTTTGTGAAATTAAATTTTCATTAGCCATTCAAAGATTTGTTTAAATGATGTAAATGAGTATTTGCTGAATGCTGACGGCAAACGAGAAAGTATTATAATGTTTGCCTTTCTGTTACTAATAATATAAAAGCAATCGTTATAATACTTTTTGTATACATTTCAATTCCTTTGTTTAAAGGTTTTATCAGATTATTAGACAGACTTCTATCCGTATTAGACAAAACTGAACGATGACAGCGAACAAGGAGAATGTGAGAACTGTGTGCTCAGGCGTTGAGCCTGAGACACTCAGCGCCGTCAAAATAAAAGTCCTCAAACGCATCGGCCAAACAGAAAAACTTATCGGCCGATATTTGGAAAAATGCCGATATATCGGCCGACCACTAATGACTTTCTTTTGTTGAACACAAAATCATAGTTTAGTTAAATGTCCATGTGGTTGTTTTCCATGTAGTTACAGCAAAAGAAAAGGTTTTCAGAGTTCCTCATGGAAGTAAGGAAGTCCTTTTGGGTTGTAGTGAAGATTGGATAATTCACTTTTTTGGTGAACTAGGCTTTAAAGATGTAGATGACAGGCTAATTGTTGATATTCATTTTTTTCTGGTCTTTTGCTCTAAAGATTCAGGCCAATATTGAATTACATGATTGACCTTAATGTTATTATTATTTTTATACATGAGTATTTATGCAATAGGCATCTTATATTGAATGCTTTCTACAGTAGACATTTAAGAAGGCTGTAGGGTGAAATAAGATGGCTTATACTCAATTACTGGTTCCATGTCCTAGAATATCAAACTCTAACACTGGCAATTAATGGAGATAAAATGTTTAACGGGAACCAAGCCAAAAATCCTCTTAAGAAGCAACCACGAGAGATTTGTATCAGATATTTCTCCTTGACCTTATAGCATTGCAGTGCTGAGTCAGAGCCATCCGTCAGTTTTTTTTTTTTTTGTTCTGCATAGGTTTTGTTGATTGTGATATTATTTTGACAGTGTTCAGAGCCTGATTATCTTTGATGTCACTTCCTCGAGCAGCTTGTAAACATAGAGTAGCAATTACGTCAAGCAGTTAGCGACATGAAGCTCAGCTCTGCTGTGTTTTGTTTTCATTTGAATGCTGCGACATCATGAATGTAGTGTGAATTCTTCTTGTGAGAAGCCCAGTGCTGAGGGTCACAAGTCAGTTGTGGCTCAAGGTTTTGAAGTCACATGATTTGAACATTAGATTTAACATCATCGCATTTTTCATGAACGACCTCATTTGAACCCATCTGATGGATGATTCTTTCATAAACTCTCATGTTTTAGCCAGTTGCTGTGTGATACCATGAATGGATAATATTTCATTACTGCCATTAGGACTGGGTGATATCTGAAATGTTATCTCCGTTTATCATCCTTTTGATGTAATTATTCAATATTTATCTATTGATGTAATTTAATATTTATGTGTATTTTTTCTTAATTATTTTTTCCCCACTCAGAGAAACCTTCATTTCAACCAAACATACACTATAACAAAGTAGATTAAAAATTATTCAAAGTACATTCAAATTGCAATTTGCAAATGTAAAGAATAAAAAAAATGATACCCCAGTTTAATAATAAAGGCATGTTTTCCACTAAATTAATCCAAGTTAACAGTTTTGTTTTTGAGTGGTGATGCAAATTAATTGCTGAATCAGTTTTGAATTGATTCATTGTTGCTGTTTGAACTGATTAATAATGAATAAAGTGTAACAAATATCATTTTACTAGTCAGGTTTAAATCAGAGATGCTAATTAAACATTTGTCTTATTCTTGCAAGTCATGAGACAAGGAAGGATTGTACATCTAGAGTTATAGTAACTTAATGGCCAAATAAAAAGCGCATGAAAATCATTACAATATTCACATTTCTTCATTTAATGTTGTCAGCAAAATCATTGTGAATTTGTATTTGTTTGATATACGAACCCTACCAACCCTAATAGTTTTAATGCTAGGAGGGTTATTTCAGGAAAGTGTTTTTTAACATCAGGTTTTGTTGAATGTCAGTAAGTGCTTACTTGCAACTGCCTGAGAACAAATGAATTCGCTCACGCCACATTTTATTTACAAGCACCAGCCTTGACAGAGACAGCAATTGATGTTGGGAGTAATGTGGAAAGTATTCGGGCAGGGTTTGGGTGAGGTTGGCCCTTCATGTGTGATGTGTCCATATCAGAAGACAGTTTGGCCTTTGAAGTAATGCTGACTCGTTTACTCTACAAGCTTTGACAGCCTTGCTTGAAAGCCTTGTCTTCAACATGGTGCTGGTTAGGGGTGGAATGGTTCGCGGAAAAAAATTTAACCGTACGGTTCTCCACAAACGGTTCGGCACGCGCTAGGACCGCGGACATTTTAAAATCTATTCAAATATAAAGCAATTTTAAATAGTAAAAATATTTCATAATAAACTTCAACGGATTTGCAGTGCTCATGGAGTAGGGAGTAATGAACACTGTGTTATCATATCGATCGGAACACAGTTCATGCATGTAGCTCTCTTCTAACGAGCTGGTTATCTGAATCGGGTGTGTTAACTAAGCGAGACATGCAAAATACATGCG